TGCAGAAACATCGAGATAGGTAACTGAATCATTTAAGGAATGTTACCACACCGTTGTAAAAAAGAACGACACAACCACAACAAGACAGTATTGCCATTCAGAAGAAGATCACAATTTATCAGACACTCGTGACTTCCGGGGGAAACTGAAGTTCTGAAACTTCCAGTGGACACCGCTATTGGCGCTGCCAGGTAGGGCGGGGCCCACCCATACGGCCCAACGGGAGAGTATTTCCGAAAGTCTTAGAGGTTCAGTTTTCCCCAGAAATCTGCGATTGTCTGATTTTCAAAACATCTGTTTTCGACTACACTATCGCCGAAAAAGATAACCAAGAAGTTCTCTGAGAAGAAGATTTCTATGGACAATTTGATACCATCAAACATTTTTGTTGTAATTTATAGATAGAGTAGGATTACATATGAATAATACAGTTTTTAGGTTGAGGGATTACAAAATGCCCAAAGTTGTCACTGTGAGATCAAAAGTGTGTTTTCACTTTTTAGTATTCTATAAACATAGTCTTAATACATTCACGGCAATACGACACACGGATGGATCGTACGCGTCCTGCCATTTCGGACAACACGACCCATCGGTGGGTCATATGCTTTTGATTTTGTTAGCTTACGATCAAATTTTTTCGGCAAACTGAATATTCTGTATGACTCTCTCTTAGAATACTTCTTAAAAGATCTACACTCAGACCATAGGACCCATCAGTGGCCAAAAAGTGTTACGCTAACATAAAATTGCGAAATTTGCCCTGGTCCGAAATAGCAGTCACCGAAAAATCGTCCTTATCGTGGATGTGTTAATAATGTAACTCATTAGGAACTCGTGGTGCGAATATGCGTCTAGAATTACCATTAGTGTAATGAGATACCTAACTCGCCGGCAAATAAGCATCAGCTAGATGTTGAGTAAGTGACATTTTAAGTAACTGCGCAACGAATGGATATTATAAACTTCAGGAAGCTAGAGGACAAAGGCTGCTTCGTGTAAAAACTGATTTTTGAGCTTTTGATCTCAAGCATAAGGTTGTAATAACGCAGGGTTTTATTGATGCATGTTTTTAAAGCGACTGCTACCGCAAAATATTACCTAACAACTCAGGAAACAAAAAAATGAGGATATCTAGAATGTGACAACCTCGTAGAAAAAAAGCAAAAAAAAGCTGACAAGTTCGACTTTGCATTTTCACTATTTTGAGCCCTTATTGCAAACTGAAAAGTTTTGAAAATTCTTAAAAGGTCACCGGATATTGTTTGTGTACTTCTAGATTGTGCTTACGAGTGGTTTGAGAAAATTATGAATTGGTGGAGGAAGTGGTGGAAAGGATGAGGGGAGGCTTGGCGTTAGTCATTGCAAAATATGATACTCCCTTCCCCTCACAAATTTTCTTAGATACTTCGTTTTTTCAAGAATTTTGGAGAATCGGATAACTCAACAGTAAAAAAAGCCCTATCTTGGGGCCGCCACCCCTCTCTATCCGCGTCCCCCTCCCTTTGACGCACAATAGCAGATTTCAGGAGCTTTAGTAATTTGCTCGAAACCACCACATGATGCGATGGTTCAGTCATGGTAATGTTTTTTAAACATGACCATCCTCTGATGGCCACTCAGTTCAATGGGTCATACAAAATCATGATACAAGCAAATAACTAGCAAGAACTGTTTCATGCAGTGCAGAAAATCATAACTGTTTCATGCTTGTCTCATTGTGAACCAAACTACGAAGTATCCAGTGGGTTAACATCATCGTCTTGTTATCAGGAAAAGCAATGCAAATAGCACTTTATTCCATTAGACGCAGACGTGAAAAATCATCATATCATTGTTTAAAATGAAGTACTCTTGACCACTTTTTTCATTTGAAACGAATCTGCTATGGTCTCACACGTCAACAGGAGTGAGGAAGATCATTCTGCAAGTTACTATGAGAAGGGTGACTTGTTTACTGCTTGGATAAGGGCAGTAGAAAAATGGAAAGCTCGAGATCGAATGCAAATTTGGTAGAGTGCGATGAAGGCGGTCAAGCATGAGAATAGGGGAAGTTTGATCCCCTTCAATGACATCGCTTTGCTAAATCTATAATCAAGGGAAAACTTGCTCAGCTAGGTTGTTCCCGATTGGTTATGATTTCTTTGAAAAGATAATGTGAAACTGCTGGTTACCCAATGTGATGAAAACTAACAAACGAAGCGTGTTCAGTCGAAGTGGCCTTTTGAGATGAGACCCATACTGCTTTGAAGAGTATTGCACAGTGATTTCAAATCTCCCTTTCAAATCTGCCAAGCGCCTCTAGACGCCAAGTTATGACCGTTTCTCGGAACGAAAAATGCAGAATTTAGGTAAAAACAATTGTCACATTCTTGTCACTCTGGGACCGATACAGGGTGTCGAAGTTAGTGGACCTACAGGGTGCGTCAGGGTTTTTACTGTTTTTTCTTTAAACATCAACATTTATCCAGAACTGGGGCACCTACAAAGGATATAGATACATGGTCGCACTTCCGTGGTCTGAGCTATACGATCATGTGCGTGGAAGGATCTAGGGGCGGAGTTTGCCATTCTACTTGGTTCATTTTGTTTATATCTATCCATGAAAAAAATGCGAAGTGTGCAGTTGGATATTAGATGTGCCAAGCATATGCTATGAAAAAATGAAGCTTGAGGATACGATACGATTTTTGACGGTATATTTCGTTTTCGACTACTATCAGATTTCAGCCGAAGACCACGTGAAGTACGATTTGGGCGGACACAGAGCCATTTTGTAGAGTTTGATTGCCCTGTCAGTAATTACTCAAGCCATATCAATTGAAGGAAAGATACAAGAAGATAACGTTTCTAGTGAAAATGATAAAAAAATTATGAGACACCATAATATATTTGAAATCATGACTTGGTTCTTTACAAATCATGCTGCCATCTGGACCACAAGGCATAATTTGCCAATGGTCCAGTGAGAAACGATCTATAAGAGAACGGATGAGCTGAATGTCGGATGCCAAGGCTGTTTGTACTTCGTGTTGATTTCCTATAAGAGTCGCGTGATAGCGTCCCCTAAGTGCGGCCCACTTCAGTCGGACGTCTTTTACGAGGATCGCGACAATGATGACCATGGAGTAGAAAAAAGACATATAAGGAATAAAGTGAAGCTTCAAAAAGTCTTCCGTTTTTTTTCATGTTTGTGAACGCTAATTTTTAAAAGGGTTCAGAAATCATGGAATCAAACAAAAGAAGTTCCCATAAGCGCATAACTTGTGTAGCAAAATTATTTACGATTTCATCCTTACATGAAGCAGTGCACATTTTTGCCCTCTACTTTGAGGTGAGTTGGGAAATTTCTGAAAAGTAACTAACGAGTTATAAAAATGTGCAAAACCTAATTAAACGTAAATAATTGAAATAATTTTTCAAATTCTTCAAAAAATTCAAAATAGCCCTGTAAAGAATATTTTTCGGGTCGTGGAGTTGAGGGCGTGCAATTTTGGAAAGTACCCCAAAAAAGTTTCTCAAAAGCCTGGCTGATGCAACTCACCTTCATTCGAAAAAAATTTGCCCCCTCCCTCCCACCCCCTCTCCCCGAAAGGAGATCCTGGGGCACGCCATTGGAATCTGCCAAATTATGCGAAATTCGAGTCATAGTCCAAACAATTTCTTAGTTGCGATTGATTATATTCTTTACACAACTCTATTCATTCATGAGGATCACCTTCAAAATTTTGCAAAATTACGAAAACTACCGGTTCAAAACTTTGAACTCTTCAGAAAATCGGACTTTGCAAGGGATGTTTAGATTGACTACTTAACCCTTGTTTTCGAAAATTTCATTGACGTTACGCTTTGAAGAAAAATTTTGCCGTTCAGGTCCCTCGTAAAATTCTCGAGCGTTATTTAGGCCCGTATGCACGTACATCCCCGCTGGGGAGGGGAGGGGATCTGAGAGGGGATGCGCCATATCTCGTTACTTTACGTATCTTTCTTCTTCCTTTTCTATCTTGCTTATGAGGGTTCTCATACCCTACTATCTGCGCATAATTGATGCCAGGTAACTGGCATAACTGATTAGATTTGTACTATTTTGTGTGATCCCCTGGGGATCACCTCTCGTTTTTCAAAGTCATTTATCTTCCTGAAAGATCAATGGAAACGCCGCAAAATTGTACTGAGGATATACTACGGCACTGCTAAGCATGTTTAAAGTAAAAATAAGTGAGATCTCAAGATATCGAAATCTTCGAAATCTGGCTCAAAAGCTAGGGATCATCGAAAAATTCACAATCTTCAGATTCCATTTTTTTCTGTCGAAAACATGCTTAGCAGTGCCGTAGTATATCCTCAGTACAATTTTGCGGCGTTTCCATTGATTTCTCAGGAAGATAAATGACTTTGAAAACGAGAGGTGATCTCCAGGGGATCACACAAAATAGTACAAATCCAATCAGTTATGCCAGTAACCTGGCATCAATTATGCGCAGATAGTAGGGTATGAGAACCCTCATAAGCAAGATAGAAAAGGAAGAAGAAAGATACGTAAAGTAACGAGATATGGCGCATCCCCTCTCAGATCCCCTCCCCTCCCCTGCGGGAATGTACGTGCATACGGGCCTTAATATTAACAGTTAATTTTTGAGTCTTCGTAGCTAGAAAGTGTGATATAGCAACCGTCACTCAAACATCAACAGCAGACAAATGAATTCCTTTTTAATCGTGAAACTTTTAGCGCTTATCATGAAGATTATAGGGATAAGGGGATGTGAATACATTGTAATAAGCAAGAAAAGAAGCAGGTGCTTCCTTTCGATTTTTTTTGATGACTAATGGCTAGCAGATAAACATTGCATGACTATAAATGACAATGCGAATAAGAGATGTCCTTGAGATGTTTTGTGTTCGCGCAGTTTGCTTGCCTAACTGCGCAACTTCCTATCAAGGTTATCAATGTGCCATAGCATATAAAACAGTTTTTCGACCTATCTGGTCGTAATCACAAAATGATACTCTTCACTATTCTTCTTCTCTGTGCTATAAGTTCCGTCCAAGGGACTTTCGGTGGCTGCTACTCATGTAATCAGCCATCCTATGGCTCCTATGGTTCCTACGGTGGCTCTTACGGATCTTATCCGTCTTATGGTGGATCCTATGGGGTCTACGGCAGTTCCTATGGTTCTGGTGGATCCTATTCTAACCAAATGTCATATATGCCATCTTATTCCTCTTCTTTGCCACAGCCATTCGGTGGCAGTGGCAGTTACTTTATTTGGTATCCTCATGCCCTTGAATACGTAGATAGACGATGGCAAGAATACTATCAGGACAAACATCAATACAGACCCAGCTATGGCAACTTTATTAGTGAGTTTCTTTTTTTATATACAGTATTTATTAATAATTTTTAAGTAGTTGAAAATACTTTTTCTAAAAAATTATCTTGGTTAAATATACTTTTTGGGTGATATTTACATTACTAATGTACTAGTGAACCAGTAATCTAAAAGGTGCTAGATTCGCGCGCGCTCGCTTCGGGACCTGCTCGGTTTCCCGCTGTCTGATGATTTTTGAATGCACCTTACGATTCTTTATGTATTAGAATATTCAGCAACAATTTGATTACGATTAAAAAACTTGGTTCTTCTTTTGTGTCACTAATCATGCTTTCGAGCAAATTTTTCTTTTTTTTTTAATATAGTGTTTGACTCGCCGAAGAGAAAAAACTTAAGGTAAATATAAACGAATAATACCAGTAAATTAAATCGGCTCACGACATGTAATCTTATAAGTAAGGTACAAGTAGCCATAGCCATAGCAATAAAGCAAAACGATAAAAAGTCCATTGGGGCACAATATAGCCCACACTTAAGCGATAAGGAAGTCTAGCTAGTTTCCCAACAGAAAAGAGAGGAAACGTCTGTCCTTTCAAATGATGCATGCGCATGAATAATCAAGCTAATAGCAATGAATTTTTTTTTGTTGAGTGCATTTTTTTGGACGAGCCATCAAGTAAAGAAGCACGGAGCACGAAAGAATGAGATGAAGAAAAGAATGAGATGTGAAAAGAACGCACAGATATGTCCTCCGGGAAAATTCTACTGGAAAATTTCAGATTATGGAAACACTCCACCACAGTATCAGCCAGGCAGCACCTATGTGAAGTCTGGCGGTTATAGTCATCAACAAGGTAGGTATAAAACCTGACAAAAAATAAGAGATAAAAAGACAAAAAATAATGTGGTAAAAATTGTAATAAAATTCACTTCAAACGTAATCTGTAGTGTTACAAATTTAGATTATGGCAATGTTCCCCAACCGTATCAACCAAGCAATAATGAAAGGCCAGGAAATTATGGCAACCAACAAGGTACAAAATTACTTTTCTCAATTTTAGAAAAAAGTAGAAAACAGTGTAACTGGTAGTAGAAGTCGCATTGAAAACGACTTCACTTAGAGCTTTTGAGAAATAACAGAGCGAAAATCATAATGGAAGTTGAGATAAAGTGACGTTGAACGCAAATTTAGCATTTTATTATAAATTCAGATTATGGCAATAATTCTCCACCGTACCCACCGAGCACTTCAAATGAGAGGCCAGGCAATTATGACAATCAGCAAGGTATTTTTTGTTTTTTGTTTGTACGAAGGGGACCGGTATACTAACTAGCTGTGGAATATCAGGTTACGATTGGCAGCAAATTGTAGCTGAAAAATTAGACTAGGCATAAATTTGCAATATAGTGCACAGAAAATCTTGATGGTTATTAACGCTGTGTAGAATGATTTTTTCCTTTCCTCGCATTTTCTAGTGAGTAGTGGAATGTTAGGCAATCACCTGAGATAACTAATATTCCAGCAAATAATAAAAAAACAAATTATTAGTCCTAATTTGAACTAAAATGCTTTATTGAACGTTTCAAGCATGTGCGAAGAAATTTGCAACTAAGGACGCGAGTGCCATCAAATATTCTAACAAAGCTCCTTTCACGATGTTCTTGCAGAATAGGCACTAGCACACAATGAATTCTACCTTAAGTGTGAAAAGCCGGTCTTTGGAACTTCTGTCGTTAAAACCACGTGTCAGAGCTTAATTCTGATCTCCCTAGAAACGTTGATTTGATTACGTTCCTTCAGTGTGATTTCCTAACTAAGTTACTACTAGCCTTGAAACGATTATAAAAAAAAAGAACAAACTGAAACAAGTAAGTCATAGTTCCATTAAAGCCTTGGTCCGAGAGGCAAATTTACTTCGCCACAGTCCGTAACCTAAAATGTCATTCCCTTCTCCCTAAATGTTCTGCCCAGTTCTCCTTATTTAGGAGTTCAAATTATTTTTTCAATTCCAATACATCCATCGGTTTATCTCACAATGGAGGTGAAAATTGAGCTAAATGTACCTACAGTATATACCATATAGATAAATGAAGTTTGCATACGCAGGGCTCGGCAAGAGGTCGCTTTCTAATGCGAAAAGTCCTCCTTGCAAAATTCGAAGTCCGCTTTGACGCTCAACCCTGAACGTAAAAAAATGTCAAAAAAAACGAAACGTTGACTAATGGAAAACGTAACCTCAGTTGTGTTTTTCGGCCACAAAATTTCCGCTTTCGCTTTTTGTCCCAAAAATGAAACCCAGCTTGCTTATAAGCCATGTGCCGACCCTTGTGTATACATATGTTTCAAAATTTTCTATTTGAAATTTTAGCCTCAAATGTACAGCAGGAAATATGTTCTATACAAGCAGTAATACAAATGCTTAATCTGGATTTGCCGTTAAAAAACGAATATCAATAGGTTACTTTAAAAAAATAACATTATCAGCGTGGATAGTTAGAAAAAATGCTATTTGGAGATTTATCATTTATTAGGATGCTGACCGGTCAGTTGCAGCGGCCACCAAAAGCACAATTCAAGTATAATTGTATTAGGTTGGTGCAAAAGTTCTTTCCCACAAAATTCAAAAATTCATAACTTCTAATTTTTCCAATCGATTTGTCTGTTTTTATTTTTGTATGAAAGAGCAAGTCATGCTCTTTATAATGACGTCTTAGCTGCTTACTAATGGTCATCATTTGCATAGATAGGAGCGATAGAAGAAAATTAGTCAGAATTCGGATTTTCTGTGTAGGGTCATAAAAAATCGGAAACTTGCAACAAAAATCGAAGCAGTCAGTATTGTAGGTTCTTTCACCAGCTCTTCCTAAATGTGCAAAGTTTGCGCCGATTGAGCGTCTCAATGAAAAGTTATGATTTCCCTGAAAAATGCCAAAATAAATCAAATTCGCCCTTTTGTGTTGCTTGCTCGAAAATCGTAACTTTTCAAAAAAAAAACGCTCAGTCGGCGCGAATTTTGCACTGTTAGAAAGAGCTGGTAAAAGAACCTACAATGCCGACTGCTCTGATTTTTGTTGCAAGTTTCCGATTTTTTATGACCCTACACAGAAAATTGAATTTTGACTAATTTTCTTCTATCACACCTATCTATGGAACAGATGATCATTAGTAAGCAGCTAAGGTGTCATTATAAAGAGCATGACCTAATCTTTCATAAGAAAATAAGGCGATCCAATCGGTTGGGAAATTTAGAAGTTATGAATTTTTGAATTTGGTGGGAAAGAACTTTTGCACCAACCTAATATTTAAAAATCAAGAGTTCACGTGGAGCTATAAGTGGTAGTACCGATAGCATTGACTGGTACTCAAATTATTGCAATATAAAATTTTCACATCCATTGTGTTCAGTCAATAGGACTAGTGCATAGTATAATATCATCGGTTATAAAAAAAGGCCCCGCTAAGTAGCAGTTTACTCACTTCCTAGAATTTTTGATCTTTAACCTACTATCCCTCTAATAACTATAGAAATTGCCTAGCACTTTTTTCGGTAAACTAGTAATCTGCCCTAATGCATAGTTTATGCTCGAATTGCCAGCTCATATACAGTTTTTAGACCTTAAAACAACCCACCAAAGACAGCAAAAGAGTGTTTTTTCTATGTTATTACTGAGCGCATTCAGTTCTTATATCTCCTACTATATACCTTTTACTAGTATTGTTATGGCGATACGGCTACCATTCCAAACAAAAACGCAGTGATGAATAAAATGAACGAGATGAGAGCAGAAGTGCTGAAGATGTTTTCGAACGCTTTCAAATTAGGAGCTAATTCAGTTTGGGCAAATGCTCTGCATAAGCAACTCATTATGGTCATTAATCAAACAAAAAAATAAACTAATGGGGGGATGAGAGACGAGACTTTGTCAGGATTTTTCCCCTGTAATACATTTTAATTTTTTAATTTAGGACCACCGCAAGACTATAACAGGAACTACGGAAAAGCCAGCGAACTGCCGCAAAACTTTGGCAATCGCGAGCCCGATTTGATGACAGAGGTGATTCTATGCCCTTGATTTTGTCGTAAGCATTTCAAACTGTGCCAGAGATTAAAAATCTTAATGAGCAGGGTTTTTCATTGGAATGAATCAAGACAAAATGTAATTTTTTCTAATCACGCTGTATAGGGTTGTTTTTAGGCTGGAACAATACCCATCGGTTCGTCCGTGGACGGTACAGCTGGAGGAGGTCTGTATTTGTATATCTGCAGTGAATACTATTACTGGTGGTCATAGAGAATTTCTTAGAGTGGAAAATTTTGGAAGAGAGCATGGTAGTAAGCATAGCAAATCACTTTTGAATGAATGCTTGCACTGCAAAGTTATAAGGCAGTCAGGATTGTGATCAGGGCCCGACATGAGTTAGTTTACAGGTTTCTTGGAAACGAAGTCCCCCTTGACTTTTGCGAAATTCTACGAAGTCCCTTTTGACTCTCAGCTGTAAACGTAAGAAAACCTCAGAAAACGAAACGTCTACTAAACAAAGTCGCAATTTTTGGCCACAAAAACGATATCTCCTTTGCTTTTTTGCCCCAAAAATGAAGATTAGCCTGTTTCAATACAATATCCGCCGGGCCCTGATTGTGATTTGAACGTCAATTCTGTTCCATTTCTCCGTGTCAACTGTAACATTAAGGCACTGAAAATCCATATGACACCATCATCATGCAAGCGCTATTAACAAAGACTAAGATTATTATTAGGTTAGCACATAAGTTTTGCAACTTTTCCCGTAACTTTTTTCCTATTTTATTTAGCAATCTCATTTTGTGGCATCATGTAGAACGTGATGTAAGCTGCAAGTATGGGCAAACCGTTTGATTTTTGATAACGCAGTACAAAAAATCAAAGAATTTTTCGAAAACTGCTGAAAATGAGTTTTCACGATTTTTTGGCAAACACGAAGCCCTACGAAACCTGATTCAAACATATGAAATAGCAATTATAGGCAGCATGTAGCTGGAAGTTGACACATTGGAATCAGTGAAAAAGAAGTGAAATTTAAACACAAATTAAGGTGGAGCGCTTTTCAGAAGTTGAACAAGTCAAATGCGTCAAGTTTTGAAGGCAATTTGTCAATAACTAAGCTGCGGAAAGTCAGAATTCGCTATAACTTTGCACTATAGGGTAATCCTATGCGGTAAACACGAATATCATATTCATTTGTCGCTAAAATGAAATTCATTTTTTGATCTTACGAACGAGGCCTTTTCATGCGAAACGGATCTCATTTTGTGATCAGCATGTCAAATAAGCCCTATAGGCCAAGTTTCGGCAAAATCTGATGCATTCTAAAATTTTTCCCATAGTACCGTAAACCTACCGTAATCCTCACATAAAACGGTAAAATTCGGCAAAAATGTGTGCATTAGAAGCTTACATCATATTCCTTATATTGCCAAAAAATGAATGCGCTACGTTTAAATAGACAAAGGTTATATAAAAAGTTGCATTACTTATGTGCCAACCTAATACATAACCTAGAGGTTTCAAATATTGTTAAGATGCAAGAAGGAAAAGGTCTTGGTACTGTTCATCTAGTGACTTCCAATTCATGAAACGAGTTGTGATGTAAACTTGGAAAGAAAAGAGTTGCCTAAAGAGGCAAGGGAAAGGATTGCCTAAAAAGTTGGTTTTTAAAGTGCTACTCCCATTTAAGAGAAAGTTGAGCTTTCATGTAGCGTAATCAAAGGATTTGTAGTGAATAAAATTCAAAAAGTTTTGAGACAAATCCATGATAAAGCTCTCTTCAGATGAGCGAATGGAATCGAAATTTTATTGGGTTCATTTTGTCCTTTTTGCTTGCTTCAAAATCCGTCATTTTATCTTCACCGTATGAATTACTTTCGAAAAAATTTCCATTTTCACACGCTTATATGTAGTTTCCTTCATCATTAACTGCTTAGCCTATAAATAGGAAGGTAATTTGTTCTGTTACTTGATGTAGGTAAATTTCTTACATTGTATATTATAGCAACCGAAGTAGCGGCGTCCACGTTACGGAACCAAGGCAGACTCCGAAGCGAAGCAAATGAAGGGATGCTAGAAGACAGAAGAAAAATGCATTAGTGTTTTCGTAAATATCATGTAAATAATTTTGATTTCATCTTGAACAAATTAGCACTGTTCCTTTAAAGGGGACATCTTTGTGGAGCTATCGGATGGGTAAGATCACTGCAAGCTACTTTAGTTTTTGCTTCTAACTTTAGTGCTTTACTTTACCTCGTCGATTTACAAAGTACTTCGAATGAGAAAATAGGCAGTTTTCGCATGGTTCAGAATTCGACACTATAGAATCGAATAATTTCCTTGGTGTATTTCTGGAAGTTTTGACTGAAATGCAGTTGAAAAAAGAACTCACTCTGATGAGGAAGTCAAAAGTCAAAAAACAAGTCAAAAACTTGTTTTTGAGAGGGGACGCAATCTTGAATAATATATCCTCAGTTTATTCGCTTTCTCATACATGCGCGAGAAAGGAAAAAATGTTGTGGAAAATGTTTTGCCAGGGCAAGAATCACATGAATGCTCTACTGTTGGCTGCGGTAGAGCTCACGAAATGCCGGAAAAATGGTACCTTTTCAGGACCAAAAAATATATGTAGCGAATGCTGTGTTTGTCGTAACAGTTTACTTGGGGTTGGAATTTCGAAACTTCTCCATATAAATCTACTTCGAATTCCGTAGAAACAGCAGACTAGCGCGCAGCTTACTTTTTTGGAATTCGCATAAGAAGGTCCATTGGAAAAATTTGTGAACTTTGAGTACCCTAATTTCATGCGTATAAGGCGCAGGGGTTTTTTTTTCCAAAATCGACCAGCCCAGACACGCCAAAGGACTTTACAACTAAAGGATCCTATAAAGTGCTGTACATTGCTTGAGAGAATGTGCGATATAAAGATTTCCTTAGGGATGCAGTGAACCGGCTGAGCAGTTTGCTTGAAAATTCGAAAAAGTGTGCCTTATACGCGTGAAATTAGGGTAATATCCTTTTTTCTTTGCCTAGTCGCACGAAATACAAAATTTGCCCTATATGACTGGTGATCTAAGAATTAAATGAATCTGCGACCTCTGATTGATGACTAACACTGAACAAATCGATAATAAAATAGTTCATTGATACATTTACAGCTAGTCAACTGGAACCATTCTGACTATTGTCTTTCCATTCAAAGCTCCACTGTATTGGATTGTCATTTTGTCTTCTTTTCCATATCCTGGCTGCAAATCTGGCTTCACTTCCTCACAGAAAATGGGTGTTGTTGACTAACCTTTCTAGTAATGATAATACTGATGTGGCCTTTTTCTGCTATTTCACCACTTATCTGGCCAGGATCAAGTGAGAAACACGAATCAGGGTTTTCAATTTTAAGCTGAAAAAATTTCTTCTTCGATGGTCCAAATCCGAAATTAGGCTGAAGTACCGTATAGTTAAGCTTGCGATCGCTGAGATTGCTCATCCAATGTCTTGTTACTCCGGCTTTGATAAGCAGTGGCAGCCTTGGATTTTGGAAGCAAACGATACCATCTTCTGCCATGACACCATAAGAATAACTTCATCTCTTCAAGCAGCTCATTTATATACTGTGAACTTTGTGATAAGTTTTACTGATAAAGCTTTCCAATGATTGAACTAATTGAGGAGGGATCAATCGCAGTCACATTTGTACCTCTTACAAGGGAGGGATACTTGGCTGAAGTGGAGTTTTCATATGAAATGTTTATCGTCTTATAGAGCACCAGTGCGAGCCTCTGCGAAGCAGAGGCTCGCACTGGTCTTACTTCATATGCCTTACTCATTCTTGACTAAAGGTGGCAATGAAACTCACCGCGTAATGCCGATTATCGCGAGTAAAATGTAAACAACTACCCATTTAAAAGGTTTTTTCATGTGAGATCGGTGATTTCGCGTGGATCAAACTTTTCGCAGAAGAACAAATACAAATTTGAATAGGTTTTTGGACTCTTTATGGCTTGGTAGCTACCGTAAGGACACTAGGCAACGTGAGCTACATCTCTGTGCAAAATTTTTCTCGAATGCTCAGGTAAAACCATGGCAAATTAATCATTTACGCAACCATTTCCTTTTGGCGTCGCTCTCCTAAAGTAGTGAATTTTTGTCCACTTTTTTGGACTTAAGTCCATGCTTGCACATCAGCATGCCAAACACATCACCGACTTTGCAAAAAGTGGTGATACGGAACCAATTTTGCTGGCCAGAACCCAAGTGTTCCGTTTGACGCGCAGTTTCTGAGGGATCCATCCAACAAAACCACTCGTGCTTCTGTACGGTAGGCTCCTATGTTGGTCGCATGCGATGTGCAAAATCTGGGCTCAGGACGTTGGCTGGAACTCGCTCTACGAATTTCGTTACAGACAGACACACAGACATACACACATACACACACAAAGACACGTAAACAACCTTAGCCCGTTATTATCATAACTTATAATAACGGGCTAAGGATGCTTACGTGACTTTGTGTGTGTGTGTGTGAGAGAGTGTGTCTGTTACGAAATTCGTGGAGCGTGTTCCAGCCAGCGTTCTAAGCCCAAATTTTGTATAGCGCATGCTACCTTCATGAAAGTCCAACATGCAAAAGCACGAGTAGATTCGTTGAGTGGATCCCTCAGAAATTGCGCGCCAAACGGGTCCACCTGGCTTCTGTACCGCAAAATTCGGTCCGTATCACCACTTTTTGCAGAGTCGTGGATGAATTTGGTAAGCAAATATGCAAGCGATGGAGTTTAGCAAGAAAAGTGGTCGGAAGTTTACTACATAACGAAAACGGCGCCAAAACGAATTGGTTGTGTAAATGGTCAATTTGCCAAGGTTCTAGCTATGCGTTTCAGAAGATTTTCGCACAGAGATGTAGCTCACGGTTATCATTACCTCTATGGCGACTACCAAATCATGACAAATCCAAAAACCTATTCAAATTTGCGTTTGTCTTCCTGCGAAAAGTTTCATCCACGCGAAATCACCGATCTCACGTGAAAAAACTTTCTAAATGAGTGGTTGTTTACATTTTATTCGTGGTAGTCGGCATAGCGCGGTGAGTTCCAGTGCCACGATTTTACGAGAATGAGTAAGGCACACAGATAGTAGAGCCAGTGCGAACCTCTGCGAAGCAGAGGTGACGCACTGGTAAGTTATGATGGAACGGTGATCTCAATTCTACTTTTGTTATCTGCAAAGCACTTCAGGGAAGGGAGTTACGGGCTGTTTTGAACAAAAATTCAAGGGTTTGGTTGAGCTAAAAATAGGGTTGGTCTTTCCGGCATTCAAAAGAATTGACTGGCTTAAGTTTATTAGACTGAAGCTTACAATTATCATCGGCTTTCAAATTCGTGTGGAGGCGGGTTGCGGACTTCCCTGATTTTCAGGATAAACTTGTCAAACCTCCACGTATGGCATTGCATTTCGTAATTTCTCGTTAAGCTTATCCTTATAATCAATGAAGTCCGCAACCCGTCTCCACACGAATCTGGGATCCGATCCAATAAAGTGCCCTGAATCATGGCCACATTTGAGCTCAAAGACTACAATTCTGAATGATTTTATTGTATCCGCGAGTTCAAATTTGCTTCAGAAAAACTCCCATAACTCTCCTCCTGAAAGTGCTTTGCAGGTACCGAAAGCAGAATTGGAATCAGCGTTTACTCTATAAGAAGTATTAGGTTGTCCGGAAATTAATGCAGGTTTTGCATATTCTCACTTCAAAGCGTCATAACTCCTTTGAAATTGCATATTTTGAAAGGAGGTAAACACTAATGTGATCAGCAAGTCTTTTTCTATCTGCGCCATTTTCTTCTATAACTGTAGCCCCAACAAGCAAATTACTGAAAGCCAGAAAGTAGAAAGAAATTTTTTGGCAAGGTCATACTTGGCAAGTTGTAAACTCTTACCGAATATGAGCGTTCAGCCAAAAATTTCTATAGCTTATAGCCACGGACCAGTACTACATATATAGCTCTGCAGAAGATTTTTTAGAAATTTTCTGCGAAAGAAAAATTTGCGGAATCAAAATTTTCCATTTTTTCGATATTTTCTCCACGGCTGCGATCTCCGACAATTTTGATTTTTTTTATTAACTCATCAAAAAGAAAGCCCGGGAGGTACCAGTTGAAATATTATCTGACGGCACTGGCCTCACTCTTCAAGTACGAGGAGAGACTTTTACAGTTGCTTTCTTTAGAAAAGTTTTCTACGCCATGGAGTGGCCGCGACAATTATTCATGTCAAAGCCTCAGTTTCTGTACTCTCACAATCGTTCAAAAGAAGCGCTACTATCCATTTTGTAGGTTCACTCAATATCTTGCTTCAGCTATATTATCGTGGAAATACCCCTCTTGCCGAACAAGTTCAAGCCAAACTAGTGCAAAGGGTAAATTTAGTAATTTGAAGCTTCATCTTCGGATGGTTTTAGATTTTGAACAAACGAAGTTGGTCGTAGAAATAGTATATATAAGAGAGAGCAGGAAGAGCGGCTTCTTTTAGTATGCAAAATTGCTCGAAAGATGCACATACACAGAAGAACGATCCTTTCGAAATTACATTTGCAGAAACCTGCATTAATTTCCGGACAACCTAATATTATGCATTTCCTACAGAAACGCCACTTTGACCAAGTATCCTTCCATTGTTAGAGCTAAATCACTTAGAGATAGGAGTTTTTATGGTGGTCTCCCTGAAGTAGAGTTAAAGATTTGAAGACAATATCGTTGTGATAGCCCAACTCTACAGTTTGGTTGTTCTTGGGCACCTCACAGCAGATCCACCAGTGAAAATACGTATTTGGACTAGATCTTTGTATCTACAGTACTCTACAGTAGACAGCACGACATCTCAGAAAATAGATTAAACAAGACCGGCGTCAAACGTTTTCGAAAATTCATGATAATAATCCTAATGAAAGAAAAACCGGTATGACTAATTGTAAGTGCGAGGTTGGGCCGCAATTAGATATCAGTACGTTTATTGGAACCTCTTCGTACCATCCCACGTTACGGGAGAAGTGAAGAAATTGTACACGAAATAAACAGTAGGGTTTGCATTCTTTACTGAACAATATTCCATGTTAGGGGAGATGGGTCCTCATATAAAAATAGGAGCAATCGAAGAAAGAGAGAAAAAAAGAAACTAATCAACACAAAATGAAAAAACTTTGTCAAAGGAAAATGCTGCACCCGCTAAGCATGTGGTGCTATCAATCGTACAAATGTTTTTTCAACTTAATGTATTCTTTTCTAAATTGATACCATAAAGGCCCTTGCAAGTTCTCCTTCCTACTGCCAATCGTTTACCGACCAAAAGCATTTGTTTAGGCCCAGTTTATCTGAGTTTGGTAATTTGCTGTAAGCAACACACTTCCAACGAATTCTTTTTGATAAAATCTGTTCACAAGATAAAGAGAGAGATTAACAATCTTACATAGAGAAGCAAAACGACCAAACCGTACACTAGCCAATCTTTACTGCAATCATTGCAACTTTTCAATTATGAGTGAATCTTTTCCAAAACCATATTATAAGTTTGAGGCCGATGCATTACTCCATTGGGTGTGATGGAAGTCACGTCGATTGGTGCCTTCGGATCTTCGGAAATCTCGTAGCGAGAAATCATGTTGCCAAGGACCTATACAAATATTACTATTGAGGCCCAAAAGTCACTTCTGCTTTACCCTTACAAGGTAAATCTCCGCTTTTGCTAATGACTCTCCAATGCATGAGCGTTTTCCAATGCCGAATGGTATAATAAGCTGCTCAAGCGCTTTTCCTCCTCTCTCAAATCTGGCTGGGTCAAACTGAAACATGGATATTTAATGATAAAATCGTAAAAACTAGAGTTGCTGAACTTGCCTTTTCGGGAGTTTCGAAGTACCTGCTGTCGCTCATTATAAGCGACATCTCTGCTGCGACCGCAGTGCCAGCTGGTACAAAATAATTTCCAATGTAAGCATCCTTTTCATTTTTTCGCCACAAATTCATGTTGAGAATTGACGCCAAGCGCTGTATCTCCTAAACAAAAATGAGACTTTGTGGGCAAGGGGTCTGCTACAGTGCAGGACTCCCAAACTACTGTTCTTCCTCTAGCTTACCAAGATGGTCCAGTTTAGATACGGGGTGTCCTGCTTATCGGTAAGAGAGATGAAGCGATTACCGTTGGTGACTGTGATGATTTCATTCCGCACCTTCTTCATAACCTGTGAACGTTTAACACTTATGTTGGCAAATAATAGCTCCGCGAACTCAGCAAAGTTTTAACCTATCATGTACTAAGAAAACCTCGCAGATGGTTAATTCCACTGCATGAATATATACACGGGTACACCTTCTCGATTGCAAAAGGATGAGAAGTCAATATTTCTGCAGTTTTTTTGCAAGTAGGTACTGATAACTCGCTCGTGATAAACGATGGTTCAGTTCTGATAAAATTTGCAAAATTTTTTGATTTTTACAGAGTAATATTTATCTCATGTAAGTACTTATTTTATATTTTATTTTTCTTTTATTTCGTAAAGCCCATATAGGAATCGTATGTTACTTCTTCATGTATACACTTTTATTTTTCTTGTATTTCATGAAGCCCATATAGGAATCGTACGTAACTTCTTTATGTCTAAGCAAATGGAATCTTCTAAAAATCTAAAAACAGGTGCTGATTTTTTTTCAGGCACTCAGGTCATGGCTTCAAACTTTGGGCAAGTGACAAATTACGCTTTGGGAATAGCTAGTTGTGCTCGACTAGCGATTGTCATTTTCAGTTGCCTAGAAAATTCAGAAAAAATATTCAAAACTAAATATTATTTGATGTTTTGTAGAATACCAAAATGCGCATTCACGAAAAAATTTCATGACCTGCTGACAAAAATTTCATTACAAGTGAGAAAAGTATAATACCTCCGGATTTTTGATGAGATACATAAATCCCCAAATCATTGTTATGCTTGTAGTCTCATGTCCAGCTATCCAAAGATCAAAAATATCATAAAGAAGATCCTCATCTCTAAAAGAAATTAAAGGTAATTGAATGACGAAGCCCCCAAAACGCGTACTTGTACGTTCGACTTATATCCATCCCTACTTTACGATCCGCATCCATTTTCAAAATGTAGGCGTCAACGAAGTCTTCACCGTTGCCATCCAGGATATGTTTGCCAGCAATAATATCTTCTTTTCTAAGATTATTTATGTTTTATGAATTAGGTTAAAGTGATTAGGCAAATGCGAGTAGCACCTTTGATCTACTCTTTTATTGATAAATACAAGTAGCCTCTCCTGTGGCGATATCATTCTTTGCCACCAATTTTCTAGAAATGGGACATTTCGGGTCCATTTACCCATGACTATGTCAAATGCTGTAGCTTTCATGAAAGTGTCGTCAAGCTCATGCTTTAATTGAAAGTATTCTTCCGCATTTTTCTGGAAAAATACAAAATAAATGCAATTTCACACTTATTAATGTAAGGACCATTTCTTTTTGTGGATCACTTTTTTGAATTCGGGTTTCTATCCAACAAACCTCTGTGAAACGTTCCGAAAAAATCATACGGTTGATAACGCTTCCAACTAAAATGTCAAAAAAGCTGGCAGCATCAATGACAGCTCTTCCATCAACCATACTCTTTTCAAGCTTGTTGAAACTAAAAAATACATATGTGGAATGCCTAGAAGTTTGCCGCTCATTCAAACTCACTGATAACGAAACTCGTCCAAAATTCTGTCTTCCAAAACATTACTGCCAAGACCAAAATTTCGCAATGTCCTAATAGTAAATCGACGATGATCAGCCCAAAAGTCTCCGCTCGAAAATACAGTCCCCCTTCCTTCTAAACTAAGTTCTTGAATTTTCAATAAAAGACAAATTCTGACACTAGCCCCTTTTGACGTCAAACAAGTACGGAGTATATCTGTCAGCATAATTTGCTCCTTTCCCAATCATTTCCTCCTTCGCAATGGTATAATCAGCTATGTGTACTGTTGGTATTGGTCCCGACCAGAATGTGAAGACATCGCCGTATTCCTAAGAATATGTTGTTTGCACAATGGTCCATCTGTTTCGACTACCTTTTTAGCACTTGATGATTTGGCAAATAATTACGATTGAAATAGGTGAATGAGCTCGTAGCATCTGCTACCCAGGTGCAAAATAGAACCAGTTTACAGAGGAATTTAATCTTTGAAAGGTCCAATCAGAACGAATTTTTGACCTTTGAATTTTAGTCTTGGGCTGAGTGATACTTATCTATCGGTACCTTTTGCCATTTTCTCATTGTCTCGAGTAGTCCACCATTTTTAATACTACCCCAGAACGCTTGATGGAGATTGCCAATGAGTGGTAAAGGAAATGGACCTATACATGTTTTTAAAGTGCTTGAAAAAATTACCGAATCGGAATTCAAAGTACCTGGAGGGTAACGTCGTACAACCTTTACCCATTCATACAACGACAGTAAGATGACAATGATGGCACACGTGATTAATAACTCAAAAAGCATAGCTGTAGAAATAATGGACGTATATTATGGAGCTGACAACGTTGAAGAGAATGAAGTCTTTGTTTATAGTCATTTGGCCACCCTTATCGTGTTAAAGGTTAGATTTCGACGTTAGTATCAATTACCTCACATCAAAATGGAAAACAACACAGTTTTTGTCTGTCTTTGCCTCAGACCAAAAATCAGAAGAAGTACATACATTACCATTTTGGCATAGTTAAGACTTCAGATTGGTGTAGTTTAATTACTCAAAAGCAAAGTAACATTCCAAAATGTCTCACATATTCTTGTATCTATGGTACAGGGTGCAATCATCTATAATTTCTAGAAAAAAATCAAAAAATATTCAAAAATTAAAGTATAGAGCTAGAAACATGTACTTCTCTTCGACCTCCAACTCTATTAACCTCTGGTTGCACACATAAAAACGGAAGAGGTGAGCTTTTGAGATCTGGTGATTTCAACCAAGTCCTACAAAATCTTTTATCTTTGTTTCTCATACTCAAAGTGTACCAATTGTTCTATGAAATCTAATCTCAAAAATTGTAAAAACTATGCAACAAAAACCAAAACAATCAGTGGAAGTTTTCAATTTCTTTTTCCTGCTAAGCAAGGTTTCTGCTGTTCAGATTTCTTGTTAAAAGTTATGCTTTTGAAAGAAAGAAAGAAAAAATGTTATGAATATGTACCCACCCATTTTCTGCTGTATTTCTAAAAATCACGACCTTTCATAAAAGCTCGATCAGAACAAACTTTGCTCCCTTAGAAAGCGGAGGTTGAAAACTTGTGATACTGACTGTTTAGGATAATAACATCGCCACTAGCCAGCTGCAAACACGTGACTCGAAATCAGGACCGGCTCGGCTTTGAATTGGAATTTGGAATGCAAGTGAGGTCAGTTCATAAGATCGTGGACACTTCGAGGTTGGGTTGAAAAAGTGCAGCTTATGCTAGGATAAAGATTTTACAAAGCTTTGCAGAGATAAGTTCAGAACTGTCAATTTTTTTGTAACAAATCAATTTCAAAGCTCTAAAACTGTCGATAATAGCCTCCACTCCAATCACCACTAGGGCTGCGCCTTCGGATCTCTCAAGCTGATCCCCTTTGTAAACCATTGTGTTGAAGAAGTTTCGCACTTTCGAATCAGCTTGAACACAGGCTCGTAGAGTGACTGCCGGCCGAGTCACAAGCTTGTAAAGCGGAACAAGTCATTGGTGAGGTGCAGGTAAGGTCATGTGTATGCACTTTCAAGACTCGTTTCCTGCAAAGAAACTCCCTCACTAGCACACATCCGCGCACAGAGAATGGTAAAGAACATCACTTTATTCAGAAAGCTTTGTAGGATGTTTTGAATTTGGTTTGGAAGAGGGAATCAGAAAGCAGTTGCTAAAAGATGCAAAATAAATCTTAGGCTCATGCTTTTTTAGGAAGAAGCCATGACCAGAACAGCCCTTGATGAGCTCTGTATGATAGCATACTGTTCGGATCGCTTGTGTTCTCACTTTAAAAAGAACCCAAAAAATTTTCGCGTCCGAATTGTTGTCGGCGACTTTAGTGACGGGACATTTTTTGGACTTTTTCTGATAACAGCTTATTAAAATTTTTGAAATCGATGTTTTCCAGAAAGCGTAATATTTGGGTAATGGAGTAATGTGCTAACATGTGAATATTCTCATCACTGTTTACATCTGAAAATGAGCCATGAAGAAGAGAGAACAGCTTGTTTGCAATTTTTAGATGGTCACTGTATATCGCGTTTTGAACTAATCTAAACAAAATAAAAAGTGGCAGGACGGTCAGATTGCTGGAAATAAGCATGGATGATTGGTCTAAAACGAACATGACACCTTTCAAAGATCAAACATGCAGCATTTTGTTGGACCGAACCAACTGTTATACTAAAGAAATGGGATTGCCCATAAAATAGTGGTAAATATGTTAAGCCAGGAGTTGTATCGCAAAATAAGGCCGTATTTTAGTTCTCTTATCTTCCTCGTCGCCCTCGATTCATCTGAAACCATAGTCGCAGGTGGAAAGATCTAATCAAATAGGAGATTAGTGTTCAGCTTACTTCAGTCCTATCCTATCGCTGTATATCTCATTATTGGAAGATTTCTGTTTTAGACCAAAAATTCTGTTGCACTGTTTTCCAAAAAATTGTCGCTTTGTCTATCATAAAAGTCTTGTCTATCACTTATTCTATTCGGTATTCTAACGGGTCTTTGGATGCTATGTATCTATGAAGCTCTGACTGCAGAGATCGCGCGCACCAAGTACATACCCTGGGCCGGTAGTAATCTGGCCGAAACTTCCGAGTTTAAAGCTGCGCGTTAACTCAGAGTTAACTCTGAGTTTCGTTTTGAAACTCCGAGTTAACTGCGAGTTTCGTTTCTGAAACTCGGAGATTTCACGGCACAAGACGCACATTTTACATTTTCTTCAAGCAAGCAGCTCGGCCGCACCGATATGCCTTGCAAAATGATTGCACGATTTCAAGATGGGACAGAACTTTTGGTTTGAGCGTTAAATCGTTCCACATTACGAAATGTGCATTTGTGTCAGCATAACATGCGTCTGAAAGCAACTTTCGGCTGGACAATTTCTGCTTGTCTATGTCTCTGTAGTAGGTAGAAAAGGCAAAACTTATAGATTGTTGTTCAGTCAGGCAATAGATGCGTAATGTAGCCTAAAACAATGGATGCCATTGATATGCGAAGTAATTCGTATACTCCTCTATTAATACTGAGCCAGCTGACAATTTATCATGTTTTGCAACCACACGCACACAAATAATTAACAGAGAGTTTGTGAGTTGTCTTCGAGGATTCGACTGCGAGAAATAACGCTTCTAGATTTCTTAGAATATCGTTCCAACAGCTTCTTACAACATTTTTTCGAGTGTTAAAGTCCAGCACTGCTTGACTTTGAATTCTAGTTTTCCATTTTTAGCGATAGCGATACCAACGGCAAAGTGTTGTTATAGATAACAGGTGGCTTACCCGACTCCGCCTGGCCCTGTCAAAACGCTATGATAAAGCTCCCATCCCTATCCCTGTACAACCTTCCCCTTTGCTCACTGTTACACACGAAATCCAACTCCCTATTCCCGCTGTGTTAGGTATCAGCATGCTCGATTACCCCCTTGTGCCAACTCCCAGCCCCGTAGCTCAATCGCAAAAAAATTGATGAAAACGCTAAAACTAATGGACATTCCAAAAACTAATACTGTATCCGTAATCAGCATGCTCGATTACCCCCCCCCTGTGCCAACTCTCAGCCTCGTAGCACAAACTTTACAAAACAATCGGTAAAAATCGATAAAATCGATATCGATCGATGACAAAAAGTAGCCTATGACGCCGCCCCGCCCTGAAGTGTATGTGTGCCATTAATCCCGTTCGGTTCAGAAATAGAATTTTCTATTCGGAACATACGTACAGACAGACAGACAGACAGCTTTATATATAAGAAGATAATATCATTCTGGCCCGTGGTAACCATTAGAAAAATTTTGTCCGTTAAACTTACGATTATCCAGCTTCTCATGCTTTGAAATGAAAAGTTGAGCAGTCGGAAGGTCGTCCGGTCAAATGCCACGGTCAGTACAATGTGCTGCCTTTGTGTTAAGTAAGTCGTTGAACTACGGAAATCATGTGCAAAAGCGTAGAATTGAACCAAATTTCCATAAATGCTCTAAAGTGACTCCGAGACGCTAAAGGTGACATAATCTCGGACGCATAGTGATCAAAAGTGCACAGCCCGGTACGCGGATGAGGATCCTTGCATAACTTTTCGGCTAGAAAAACAAAAATTAGGTTACTTCCCTTTTTCGCAAAGTTGGCCTAAGTTTTTTGATCTGCACACAGTAAGAATTTATTTATTTATTTCATTCTACTCATGTTCCAACCATGTCAATTTTATGAAGAAAATCTCGTCAAATTATTGTAGTTTTGTTCCTTCCATCCATTTGCTAGCCGGAATCCTGATAGCGGTCATCTTGCATTTCCATTTTTTGATAGTGAGCGCTACCAAAGATTTAGTGAGATGAATAAAATTTTGTAAACGATTGATTCGCATTTAAGTGTTAGCGATGAACATCTAAGATGCGAAAAAGGAAATGCATAAATTGTTTTAGGTTCTACCTGTTCGGTTGTTTATGAATGTCAATACGTTCAAAAATCTCCAAACCATATTTGAGACACACATGGCCTCTTTCGAAAGTCAAAGAAATATCTTGTTTGTTTATGTTACTACGACAGATGCTGTAGTGGTTTTTACATTCTACATAATGAGAAATGGCCAGCTTGGTGTGAACAGCTTCCAACGTATGTTGATGTATTGCAATATTCTGTTCCCAGCTATACTGTGCAACACCACGTGCTTGCTATTTGTACCCTATATCATTCTTCCCTATCCGATTATCGTAACACTGGGACCCATAAGAGGTGGACCTTTGCTAACAATTATATATGGAACGATGTTTTGCTGGTCTGCAATTTTGAGCGCAGTCAGCATAGCCTATTCTATCATTTCAAGCTATATAGCTGTATTCCACAATTCGTTTCTGAGCTCCACTACTTTTGACGCAGTGAAAATCGCTTCTGTTCTTATTCCCATGATACTGTTGACCATTTCTGGGATAGTGATCCCCTATTTACTGCTTGCCGATCCATCAGCGACTACCACTCTGATAATGTTGGATCCCAGCGCTGCTCATTATCTAGTGCAGTATTCCGCATTAGTGATTTATTTCACCTGGCCAGGTGTTGAAATTACGTTACTTTCGTTTTTGGCAATCTATACTCTTGGAGGCTTCGTATGTGCTGTTATGATAGCCAGGTTAGACTCTCGATTTTTGGGGCAAAATGGAAGATTGTCTAACTTTGAAGGTTGTTTGCTTGCTCCCACTTTGATGAAATCATTAAAGGCAGCGTCCGGGCAAGATCCATCCACCCAGATTAGCATATAGTTGTGAAGCGAGCTCCATGAGTATTCGATC